CGATTTTTTCTGTTTTTCTTCTTTTCTCTTTCTTTTTGATTTAAATTTTCTCCGTTCCTCCAAAAATTCGAATTATCTTCTTCCCTACTTCTTTTATCATCTTTCTGATTTATTTTGTTTTCCTTTATTTATTTTAAAAATTCAAATTTTTTTGCGGCACCTTGAATCTGATTAGGACTTGGCCATTCTTGCTTTCGGCACACATTTTGACCCCGTGGGGGGGTAACGAAGTGCTGCCGAAATTTGTGAAAAATCCAAAACTTGGTTATTTTCTCTTGCACTTTCCTTCCTCTTGGCACATTTTTGACCCCATGCGGGGTGGGAAAATGCTGCCGAAAATTCCAAAAAAATAAATATTATTTATCTCCTCAATCTTTACATTTTATTTTTTTATTTATTTTTATTTATTCTTTTATTTTATTTTTATCTCGAAATTTTATTGTTTATTATATTTTCTCTCCCCCTCCCCTCCATATTATTTTTTTTTCTTGTTTAGGTCGCCGTTACCCTCCCCTAACCAGCTAAACTCCGGTTAGGGTTTTCTTAGGTTTTTTCTAGGGTTTAGGGTTCTTCTAACCCCCCTACTCTCCTGCCTCCTCCCGTCGGGCACCCTGGACCCGAACGACTCCTCCCCCCTCGAGCGGTTTGGCGCGCTCTTCTCACGTGCGACCCGCCAAATCCGGGGTGAGCCGACTCACACATACTCACTCCGCTCCCACGGTCCCCTTCCTCTTACTGGCGGRCCCCTCTCCCCACACACCCCCGTGAGCTCTACCTCCCTTTCCCTTCCGACCATGGAAGGGAGTTCCTTTGAGGAGATCACCGCGGCGCCATCCACCTCCCAGGTGAGCGTTCAGCCAGCGGGTCAGGGTCAGGCCCATGCGGACACGATGGACCTTCATGCCACCCTCGTAGCGGTTCAGGCGCAACTTAGTATGCTTGGACCGTTGCAAGCGAAAATCAATGCGCTTGCCCTTGACGTCAACCGCCTCAAGGGCTCTCCTCATCACTCTCCCCACCGCTCCCATGCCCCATCCCCTACCGGCTCCGAGTCCGGCTCCCCACGACTCCAGAGTCGGAGACATTGTGGTTCCCCCTCCTCTGCGGGCCAGACCCAACACTCCCCCGCAGCAGTGGCGAGTGCTGCTGCCGCTCAGACCACCCCGTCTGTTGCGGCAGTTCTCCCGGCCACGGCCGCCTCTACCGTCTCTACTACTGCCGTAGGTGCTGCGGTCCAGGTACCGCCTTATGGCCCAGCAGTTTCATCGACCCACACTGGTGTTGCTTCCCAGCTTCCCGCACCGGTCGCGACAATATGGTTCCGCCCTCTTCTTCCTGCCTTCGTCCCCCCGCCCCCACAGCAGGGTACCGCCCAGGCTGGGATTCCTCCTCCCACTGGGAGACCCGCTCCGCCCCCTCCACCTCCGACCCCGCGCACCCAGCGAGTGGCCACTTTACAGGCCACCATTGCGCAAGCTCAAGCAAAGATTCTCGCTCTGAGACAACCTCACCCATCACAGGCTGCCCACCCTTCTTCCTCTACCACCCCTTCGGTCCCCATGATGCAGGTTCGTTTCCCTCGACCTGCTCCTCAGCCTCTTCCCTCCTACCTGGCTATTCCGGGACAGCTGCCCGCGACCGTTGCCTCCTCGTCTGCTGGTCCATCCGCCAGCGGCCACGGACCACAACCTTCCCCCACCTCTGCCCCTGCAGCGGCCTCGACTTACGCTGCCGCAGTGCACTCGCCTCGATCTCTCTCCCCCCGCCATCAGCACAGTGGACATCCTCCTGTGCGCACCACGGACATCCCCGAGTATGATGGGACATCCCGTGTCTCTCGCTGGTTGCAGATAGCAACGCGCACGCTCTCTATGACGACCACCCGTCAGGAGTTGTGGTGCGATGTGCTCGCAACCAAATTGCGAGGTAGCCCTTCCATTGCGTGGGAGGATCATTATACCCAGCGCCTCCACATGGGTGAGGTCCCCACTCTGGCCGACTTCGCAGCCTTCCTTCAGGACCGTTTCGGCGCTCATCATGACGCCACCGACGCCTTAGACCGCGTCACCCAGACCAGATGGTCCGGGTCCTCTATACCGGCCGACCTGGAGCGTCACATCCGGGTGTTTCAGGACGCTCGCCTTGTTTGTGATGAGACGTTCCTACTGGAGGACACACTCACCGACCGGTTCCTTGTCAGCCTGCCGACTGACTACCGCCTAGAGCTATGGAGGCGATCATTCTCTTCCGCGGAGCAGGCATACGAGGCTGCGCGTCAGTACCAGAGGATGTGCAGTCGCTTCTCCGTCGCCCCATCCTCTTCGCGGCCAGCCGCCACCTCCTAGTCTCGGGGTACCACCCGAGGCTGCTCCTCGTTTGCTGGTCGTTTTCGTCGCCCAGCTCGACCTGGAGCGCCATTCGCTCGACACTACAGTTCTCTCGAGTATGGAGAGGACGCCTCAGCCGAGCTCGATCCTACCATTGGGGACGCCCCCGAGGACATCGAGCTTCGGGACGTCATCCAGTACCACTTGGATGATGACACTGTCCCAATCGCCGAGCGCCTGCAGATGGCCATGTCTGCCATGGGTCGTGCACGCAGTCGGGTTGCACAGGCTGGCGCCCGCACACCCACGGTTCCTCATATAGACCTCCCACATTGTTTTGTCCCTCCTCGCGGAGCTCTATCCCCCGAGGAGCGTGCCGCCTTCGAGGCCCGACGCGGCTGCCTTCGTTGCCGCCAGGATGGACACACCTCCTCACGGTGTCCATACCACACCGCCCTCGATCGGTACTACGCTGACATTTCTCATCGGCGCCGATCTCAGTCCCCCCCCGGCCCCCCCAGCCAGCCCCACCCAGCTAGCCATGGTGCAGTGCACCCCTGAGGCCTCGCTCGTAGCCGGCTTCCCGACCACCGAGTCGCGGTTTGCCCCTTTGACTACCCCACCAGAGGATCCTCAGGATACGACAGACGCAGTTCTCTCTGCCCCGTCGTCTGTCGAGGTATCATCTGCCTCCCAGCAGACCGCATCTAGCGCTTCTCCCCCGAGACTTTTGACGCGTCGCGCCATTCGCACAGCCCGTTGTAGCGCTCAGCTGGCGACTCACGATGACGTTGTGTCATCTCTCCTGGATTTGAGCATTCTTTAGGCTCGTCAGGAGCGACTCACGAGACACGTAAACGTCCTTCGTCGTCTTTTCGCTCTTCTCTCTGACCCTGATCGTACCTTCCCCATTATCCCTATTCGCCTAGGGACATCTACGAGAGTGTATCGCGCTTTATGGGACTCTGGCTCGCAGGGAGATTTCGTTCACCCTCGAGTGGTTGAGGAAGCTCGCCTAGCTACCTCTGGGTCTCGCTCTCCTATCCCCGTTACCCTCGGAGATAACAAGACACAGCGCTTCTTCGATCAGACGGTCCCCGACCTCCACTTCTCCCTCACCCTCCAGCCACCGGATAGTACCCAGGCGCCTCGGCGCTACCATTCCTCCGCATACTCCGATGTGCTGGAGACTGGGTACGACTTTATCTTGGCACTTCCTGGTCTCGCCGGTTCTGTGGCACAGAGGCCGAATGGGCGACCGAGACACTCGTTCTCAAAACGAAGTGTGGTCAGACCCATCGCGTCCCGTTCATTGGAACCACGGGCGACACCCCGCCCGACCTACTTCCCCARGACCCTCGTCCCTCAGGGTCCCACCCCAACATCGCGTTCACTTYCCCTCGTCAGTTTGCTCACTTCATACGACAGGAGGACGTCACGTTCTACTCAGTGAACGTCATGGATCTTCTTCGCTACGATCCACTCTGTCCCGAGGTTGAGCTCATCTCTCTGGAGCCCGATCCCCCTGACCCTCCTTCCATCTTCGCGGCTCCCATCTCTACATCCACTCGTCAGCCTGCGGATACCCCCTCCACGTCTCAGGCCCCTGCGCCGTCGACTGTCGAGTCCACACATACGTCTCGCGCTGACGCAGACGCTGAGGAACTCACACGGTTCACGGCAGACTTAGAGTCGGCCGTTCGGGACCTGATTCGAGAGTACCGCGACGTCTTTCCCCCGTATTTCTCATACAGCGGGATTCCCCTGATGCGCGGTGTTGAGCATTCTATCCAACTCGTGCCTGACTATCGTGTTCACCATCAGGCACCGTACCGACTCTCGATCCCAAAGGCGACGAAACTCAAGCGTCAGCTTGAGGAGCTCCTTCGATTGGGTTTCATTAAACCCAGTAACTCCCCTTGGGGTGCACCTGTCCTTTTTGCTCGCAAAGCGGACGGAACTCTCCGCCTCTGCATCGACTACCGCGGCCTTAACCGTTACACGGTTAAGAACAGTTATCCCATGCCCCGCGCGRATGAGYTGTTTGACCGTCTGGCAGGCAACCGCTTCKTCACGAAGATCGATCTTCGTAGCGGTTACCACMAGATCCGCGTTGCCACAGAGGATCAGCCGAAGACYGCCTTCCGATCGCGCTTCGGCCACTACGAGTTCAYGGTGATGCCATTCGGCCTCACCAATGCCCCCGCCACCTTCCAGACGGCGATGAACGACATCTWCAGGGACATCCTTGAAGAATACGTTCTCGTATACCTGGACGACATCTTGGTCTACAGTCGTACCTTAGAAGACCATATCAGACACCTCCACGATGTCCTACAGCGCTTACGCAAGCATGGCTTCTATGCCAAGCTCAGTAAGTGTCGCTTTGCCCAGCGCAAAGTGGACTTCCTAGGACACCATGTGTCTGACCAGGGTCTCCACATGGACGACGCGAAGATCACTGCTATTGCAGAGTGGCCCGTCCCCACATCTGCCAAGCAGCTTCACATTTTCCTAAGCCTCACCTCCTACTATAGTAATTTTATCCAGGGATACGCTAGGTATCCCTACGTCCTTACCTCTACCCTTCTCCGAAAGAACCCGTCGTGGTTTTGGACACCCCTGTGCGAGGACGCCTTTCGCGCCCTCAAGAAGGCGGTGACCTGTGCGCCGGTTCTTCGCCTTCCCGATTTTGATCATCCCTTTATCGTCACCACCGATGCGTCAGATTTTGCAGTAGGAGCTGTCCTTTCTCAGGTGTTTCCCTCTCCTCCAGATTCACCTTACCCCCATGTTCCTCCTTTCCCCCCCCCTCCTGCTGACACTGCTTCTCGACTGACGCCTACCCTCCCACCACTTCCCTCCACTGACAGTCCTCCTGTTACTTACTCCCCGACCATCACGGAGGATGGGACTGTCGAGGCTCGGGCTGGGGATTGCCCGATCGCGTTCTACTCCCGTCAGCTACTGCCTGCCGAGATAAACTACAATGTCGATGAACATGAGGTTCTCGCAGTAGTTTATGCTACCCGACATTGGCGTCATTATCTGCACGGGGCGCCCTTCACGGTGCCCACGGACAACTCAGTTGTCCAGGCTTTCCTCACGAAGCCTAAGCTTTCCCCTCGACAGGCACGCTGGTGGCGTGACTTATCCGAGTTCAGTTTCACCACTCAGCCCATCAAGGGTGAAACGAACCGCGTCGCTGATGCCTTGTCCCACCGTCCTGATCACAATCCGGAACCCATCCATCTTGCTGCCATCTCCATCACCACTGTTGATCAGTCGGTGATCGACGTGTAGCGTACTCAGTACCGCCACTTCCCCGATTATCGCGTCATCCACGCGACACTGCGGAGTGGCAAGACCGTTCCCTCCTACCCCCTCGGGGAGAACGGCCTCGTGTACTGGCATGGCGGATCTGGTCAGCTAGAACCACGTATCTGCGTTCCCTCCACCGGACAGCTCCGCGTCCAGGCTGTAGCAGAGTTCCATGACCAGGCAGCTGCCGGTCATATGGGTTTCCACAAGACGTTGGCTCGTGTTTTCCGCCTATACGTCTGGCCGAAGTCCAAGGACTTTGTAAAAGCCTACATCCTGGAGTGTCCTACCTGCCAGGAGGTGAACAGTGTGAACCACCTTCCGTATGGGTTACTTCAGCCCCTACCCATACCTGAAGGTCGTTGGCAGTCCATCTCGATGGATTTCATTGGTCCCCTTCGCCCACCCACTGAGCGCAGTCATAATGCTATCTTGGTCGTCGTCGATCGCTTCACAAAGCGTGCACGTTTTGTCCCGTGCCGCTATCGCATTAGCGCTCGTGAGGTCGCCGACATCGTCTTCGACCGAGTCGTGAGAGATCACGGCTTACCTCAGAGCATCATCTCCGACCGTGACCCGCGCTTTACCAGCACATTCTGGCGACGCCTACACGAGGTGTACGGATCCCAGCTCCGCTTCTCATCGTCTTACCACCCTCAGACGGATGGTCAGACTGAGGTCACCAATAAAACTCTCGGTAATATCCTCCGAAAGTTTGTTAGGGATGACCAGCAGTGGGACTTACACTTAGCCCACGCGGAGATTGCGTACAATCACGCTGTTTCGCCAGCCACGGGGATGTCGCCATTTTATTGCGACCTCGGCTACCACCCTCGCGTACCCGCGGATTTCCTACGACCATCGCGGTTGCGCCCAGACACTCGTTGCCCTGCGCTTGACGACTGGATCGCCCACATGGCGGCGATTATGAAGCGCGCACACGAGAGTTTAGCCGACTCCCAGACTCGCATGGCCGCACGAGCGAACCGATCACGAATGGATCATCCATTCAAAGTCGGTGACGATGTGCTCGTCGACGCACGCCACTTACAGCTCGAAGCAGATACGCTTCGCAAGTTCAGGCGTCGTTTCTTCGGCCCATGCCGCATCCTTCAGGCCGTCGGTTCTGATACTGCCGCTAGTCCGGTCAGTTTCCGTGTGAAGCTACCTGATTACCTTCGACAGGCTCGCGTACACGATGTTTACCACGTCTCCTTGCTGCGTCCTTATCGCAGACCGTCCGAGCGCTTCGYCGGACGCCCTTATGAGYGCCCTCCACCTATCATGGTGGACGGTCACGAGGAGTTCGTTGTTTCCGACATCGTATCACGCCGAGTTACCGACGATACCCCTCCACGCATCGAGTACCTTGTGTGTTGGAAGGGCTACTCTGATGAGGAGGCTACTTGGGAGCCCCTCGAGCACTTGCAGCACGCCAGGATGTTGGTGTGTGCATACGATCGTGCTCGTCGTACTGAGATGTCTGCCCCTGCTCAGCCGACTGACCCTCTTCCTCCTCCTCCGGCTGAGGAGATTGCTGAGGACGAGCCCGCTCCCTCTGAGGCCGTTCCTTAGCCGCAGACGGTCGCCTCCGAGCGTCCATAGCGCACTCATCGTCGCCCTTCGCGTTACGATGACTGACACTCTTATCCTCTATCTTTCCCCTACCGACTCACACCACCAAGTACTCCATCATCAACTTCTTCAAGATGTCAGCGTTTTGCGGCTCTGCTTCGACATCGACTCGACTGCTACTTCATCGACGTCATCGACCACTTCGACGACTTCAGCCACCTCATTGGCTTCAACTACTTTGGACGTGACTACTTCACGCCACTACCCTACCCTGTACATTCCCTTGCATCTGTCGCATGATGGTTCTCACTTAGCTGGGTCTCTTTGAGTTAGGCTCTCCCTTGGTATCACATAGGCATTGGGACCGTAGCGTTATCTTGGCTTCCCTGCTCCCAGATCTAGCTCCTTCCTCCCCCAGTCGGTGAGTTGTGTGCATGTTTCCCTCACCCACTGCCCTCATCACCCCAGTGTCGGCCCTTGCATGCCTTCAGTTAGGCATATCTCCACCCTATTCCAGGCTCCCCCTTTTTTCATGGTCGACCCTGCATGGTGTCATCCTTTTGTCGAGCATTACCCGCCCTGATGGTCTATCTGTTAGGGTCTTTGGTTTTGTTTCGCTACCACTTTCCCACCTTGAGCCTGATGACCTATCCCACCTTCAAGTGTGACTGCCCTTAGGAGTTTCAATTCTTAGGCTGCATCCACCCCCTCTGAGACCATCCCACCCTTAGTGGTTCAGCGACAGGACATTATCTTGTGCCATATTGCTCTTTTTCCTTTCAGCACTGAGGTAATTGCCTCCAGGACTTTAGGATTGTATATTGCTACATTTTACTTTTTGCTATTAGCTAGGATATGGATACCAGACATTTGCTTTTCTTTTGACATTATGTAGCTTAGGATGCATCGCATGGACTCCGCATGGAGCTTGCTCCGCATCCTAGATTTCTCAGCTTTCTTTATTGCAGAGTTCCGCTGCTTTTGCGGATAGCGTGTTTATGGCTCTTGCGATCCATTACAGGTCTGAGGATCGTGCAGCGGGCCTTCATCTGCCCTGGCCTACAGCCAGGGCCTATTTGGCTATTTGCTAGTTCGGCCTGTGGGACCAGGCCGTGGCCTGACCCCACAGGCTGTGTGATGTTCCAGTCCTGCCCGGTACCACTGTCGGTACCAGGCCAGTCCAGTCAGTCAATTCGTTGGGGGTATACCCCAGCTGTAGTCTGTTTTTGATCCATTCTTCATTTGCACAGATTGGAGTACGTGCGTGTTGAGTCTGCGTTGGAGTTGCGATGTCCCTTCCAGCTCCATCTCCATCTCCCCCATCCTCATCCCTTCGTCTTGATCCTGACGGACCGCCATCCCGGCGGGTCCGTCACAGTGTTAGCATGGTTTGACCCTGAATGCACGACGAAATATGGAGAAGGGCTAGAGGCTGGTAAGGAGGGACAGGGATCCAACATACCCGGCGAGGCAGGGGGTTCCGAAGGAGGACTCGGAAAAAAAATGTCTTCCCTTACTCGAGCATTAAACAAGAATCAAGGATACCTTGCTCACGCCAAGAAGAAATTGACGTTCAACGGGCAAATATCACAAAATTTCTTATAGATTACAAGAATCTGGCAGCATTGTTAAGGTGGAGCGAGGATGAGAAAATGGACCACCTAGGGCAACACGTGTCGCTGAGTCTGGGGAGGGACATAATGACTATCGTTGTGGCCCGCGGGTCCTAGAAGGAAGCCTGATATGTGATGATGAGGAAGTACTTAGCAGCGGAGAAAATGACAACAGAAGCCGAGTTGGCCGCAGTGCTAAGGACGAATTTTGCCACGTATAATGATGTCCTTAGGGAGTTCACCCTGGTGGCGCTGGAGTGACGGACCGTATAATGAGCAAGTATTTCCTTAGGTAGTTCACCGAGTTCGATAAGAACAAGATCTTATCGACATATTAACAAACCGCAAAATTCGTTAATACAAGGGATGTCGACTTCAGCACGATGACAGACATTGTCGAAAAGATGGTTGTGACTGAGTCTCTGGCCCTGGTAAAAGAAGGGGAGGTCATAAACTTGACAAGCACAACAGGAGATAAGGTGAAGAGGGGGATAGAGAAGCTGCATGAATGCGTCCACGGAGTGGACGACAATATCGAGAGGGTAGAAAATGCACTAATGGTAATACAAGCCCAGGTAACCCGACCCCCGTCCCTCCGCAAGAAGTTGTGGTTCCAGCAGGAGTGGCCAATCGGGGGTTTAATAGGAGGGACCCAACCAACGAAAATTGCAAGTATTGCAAGATGGTCGGCCACTTTGTACGGGCATGCCCGAGACTCAACCATGATATTGTGAGGAAAAGGTGTTCTAGGACGCTAAAAAGGGGAAATCATCGAGGCCCAAGGAGAGAAGGTGAACTGGAATTCACGAGGAGGGATGCGGCGAGCCGTACTTGCCCTCAACGACCTAGACGTTGCAGCGGTAGAAGTTAAGTCGGTGACAGAGATCGGTTGGGATCAGGCTCGCGGGGCACATGTTAATTTCATAATAGAAAGGGACGTGCGGGATAAGGTGAATGTGACTACGAGGCAGCGAACGACAGAAAATAAGTTCATACAAGAAGCAGTAATGGAAGACAAAGGAGAAAGCTCAGGGGCGTCACTAGAAATTGGGGTTCATGAGCAAGAGAAGGTGTATGGGAAACTTAGAGAGGAGGACCTTGTAGATAAGGTAGCCACAACCAAGAAAAAGTTCAGATACCAAATCCCTATCTTGACTATACCTGAGATCGATGACACTCTCAACAAGTTACTAGGAACCATGGTGTCAACCTTCAAAGGTCGGGGATCTAGAGTACTTTGAAAAGGCTTTCGCCGACATCTGTCTCAGCTTACCGGATCGCGAAGGAGGGTGAGTCATGAGGGCGCCACCTGGAACGAAGCTCCGCTTTCACGCACTACCTGTGGGAAAGCTGAGAGTGCAAATTGGGATCCATCATACAGATGCGCTGGTGGACGAAGGGGTTGAGATTACGCTCATTAGGAAGGACTTTGCGAAGATCACGGGATGTGTTGTCAACAAAGAGACGACTGGAAGTATCCGTGGAGCTAGCGGGGAAATTTTGTTATCTGGATACGTTACTAAGTGCGCAATGAAGGCGGGGGTCAGGGAGTCCATCTGGTCATTTCAACGAATGATCATTATGGACGAGATGGACCATGACATAATCCTCAGAAGTCCTTGGTCTACGAATGTAGAGATGATAGGAATGCACATGCATGACCAGGCATACATGGTAGACAGAGAAGACCAGGTAACAGGACGTGGGGAGTTACTCCTCATTGGGACAAGGGGGACCCTCCGAAAGGGAAATTAGCCGCGTCGTCACCGTCGTTCGAGGAAAGCACCAAGAAGGAGGCCTTCACACGAATGAAAGGAATGAGAGAGAGGGTAAAAATCATGATTGAGGAGGCGTTCAGTAAGGAGTGGGTCAACATGGGACTACCACAAAAGAAAAGGAGGCAAGAGGGCGGAGAGAAGGTTAACAACAGTCGTACTTTTCATCACCACTTCAAGACATTCTTCACGACTTCAGGATGGAGCCTGCCTAAACAGGTGTTTTTCAAGGTCTTCGGACCTTTCACCACTTCAGGACACCCTCCACCACTTCAGGATGCAGCCTGCCTAAACAGGTGGTTTTCAAGGTCTTCGGACCTTTCACCACTTCAGGACCATTCAGGATTTTCAGACTTCCCAAAACTCTCACTTCACCACTTCAGGATGCAGCCTGCCTAAACATGTGGTTTTCAAGGTCTTCGGACCTTTCACCACTTCAGGACCATTCGGGATTTTCAGACTGCCCAAAACTCTCACTTCAAAATTTTCATTCATGAATTTTCAGCTACTCGTTAACCGCTTGTAACGATGCCCTGGGCGTTATGGTAATCGAGAAAGAAACAGAGGTTGAGCTGGGGCCAGTCTACCGTGGTCGAAGGGAGTGCGGGATGAGGAACTGAAAGTAGCCCTCAAAATCTCTGACTTATTACAACTTATTAAGCCCATCAAATACCACAAGGTAGGGGTGGACCTGATCGCGCTCACAAAATTTGAAAGAGAAGTTCGGACTGCCTGAATGGGAAGCTGGTCAGCTTCCGGCCACGGATTGCTGAGGCTCCAAGGGCGGTCCCAACCGTTCCTTTTTAAAAGAAAGATCCTGAAAGGAAGTGTTCGCAAGTATAAGCCAGTAGGAAAGAAGGCCAAGCCTGTCTCGGTCCTGTTGGAAACAATGAAGGAAGAGGCTATGGACAGAGAGGAAGAAGTCCTCCGAGTAATTTGAGAAAGCAGGCAACTGAATCTTGACGGTGCAATTTGCTTTGTTTGTCCATCCTTCACATCGGCTCATGGTTTATTGGAAGCCATCAAGTTTTTGCCGCTTGTCTTACACTGGTCCCATTTTTTTGTCCCACCGGTAGTCCCGTCAGCACATGTCCCAATTTTAAACTACTTTTTATTTGGGCCTATCTAGTCCCCGACACCGTTTTCTCATGACGTCCTATTTTGATTTGGGACTTCCTAGTCCTCGTCAGTCCAAATCTTCCTTTCTAGTGTGCCCCAAGCGTGCCTAATATTCTCGGTCGCTAGATCCCCATCTCACGGTTGTCATTTACCGCCTCCACTTGCCCATGCTTGAGACACCTCTTTCAAGCGTCTTGAGCATGCCAAGGGTCATTTTCCTTCGGCCTTGTCACCCCTGTGCAGTATGTTGATTCCCGGAGTGCAATGCTGATCATTTTCCTAGTCTCAGCGTTCAAGCTCAATATTGGCTCCAGATGTAATTAAAACATATGTTTTCCTTCCCCCTTGCAATCCGTTGTATCTCGGTAGGTTTTAATTTTTTGTGATTTTCTTAAGAAAATTTAAAGAAAATCAAGATACTTTGTGACTGATTCACCCTACTACCCTAGGATGAATCCGGTCACAAATGTATTTCCCAAGTGACCATGTTTTACCGTTAGTGGTCCTTTTTGCTTTTCTTTTCTTCTCTCTTTTCTTTTTCCCCACAAGATTCGGACAGTAGGGACTTGCCAGTCCCTACTGACGGCCAACTCACTCCCACCTTCTCCTCCTCTTTTGTCTTTTTTTTTTCTTGTTTTTTTTTTTTTTTTATATGATAAGTGTCAACTAGCGGTTGAGACTTTTTTAGGCCATGAATCTTGATCTAGGCTAGATCATGCCCAAGGGGCAGTCTGTTATTTCTCGGACTGCAATTATGACACCCTCAAACTCATGGGAGCCCCATTTTGCCACCGTTAACTCCAAGTTGTGGCCCCCTCTACTTCGATTTTTCGTAGGTAGCTTATTTCTCTCATAGAGTCTCTCAAGGCTCTAATTTTTCTAGTCTGGCAGGTCCGAGATATCTCAGACTGCAATCTACACCCCCCTTCCTTATTTCTTCCCTTCTTTGCCTTCTACGACTCTCCCGCTTGATCCCACTAGCGTAACGCATTAATGGTGTTAATATTTCTAGTCGTTAGATCTTGATTTCGATGATGCACTTCTCTTTGATTATTCAACCCTCATGATGTCCCCATAGTTTTCTTGGGCCATCTCAAGTCCCGGACACTTGTCCCGTACTTGTCCCCGACACTAGTCCCGTCGGTGGTCCCACCGGTTCTGGTGCCAATTTGTTATTATTCTTACGTGGTTCCCGACACCACTCCCTACATTGTCCCAATTTTATTTGAGACTCCCTTGTCCCTGTCACTCCCAATTTCATTTTCTCTGTGTGTCTTAAGTGTGTCAATTACTCCTGACCTCGTGATCTTGATCTCACGGTCGCCGTTCATCGTCGTAATTCGACCCTCATGCTTGAGGTTCTTCTTTTCTAGTGCCTTACGACTTTCAAGGCTCACTTTCTCATGGCCTTGGCTCCCTTAAAGTCCGTTACATCTCGGAGTGCAATGGTGACATTTTTCCTCGTCCCATTGCCCCCATACTTGCCTCAAACTGAAACAAAATGAAGCGACACATCCCCAAGTGCATCCGGACCCAATATTGGCTCCGGATGTACTTGAAACATGTGTTTGCTTTACTTTTTGTGATCCGTTGCATCTCGGCCTACCTCCTTGATTTATCTTGATTTTCTCATCAAAATCAAGAAAATCAAGGCATTTTGCAACCGTTTCATCCTGGGATGAATTCAGTCATAAAATGTACCTGAAGGCTGAAACGTATGTTTTCTTTTGCGTTAGGTGTCCGTTTTTGTCCGTTTTTGTCCGTTTTTGTCCCAACTGCATCTAGTTTTGATGCGGTCCTGTTCAAGGCACCTAGGCCTCTTTTGTGGAGGGGCAAGCTAGCCATGATGTGGCTGTTTGCCCTTTTTCCACTCCCACACTCTCCTACCTCTCCCATTCTCCCTCTACGCCCTTTTCTCCTCACCTTTGTTGACCGTTTTATTTCGGATCCCATTAGAACCTCATTTTTAAGGTTTAGCATACCTGGGTCTTTCATATTCAAGGCCCTTGTGGTCCGTTGCATCGCTTTTGAGTCCTTCCTCAATTTCAAGGCCTAGAAGCCTCAAAATTGAGGCTCTCCCTCTCTTTTTTTAGTCCTTTTTATTTTGTCCCCCAAGGCCACTTATTTTTCAGATTGCTTGTACCTGGGCTCTTGCTTGGGTGGTACCTACTAGCCCATTTTGTACCCTTTTTGTTTGGTCCATGGCCCGTAGGCTTTCCGCAGGCCGTATTCAGGTGGCCCCTTCGGCCACACATGCTATGATCTCATCTGTCGGTGTCAGGGCACTATTTTTCTTGGTGTCGGTAACCCCTTTCTTCCGGCGGTACTCAACATCCGGGATTTATTTTCCTGGCGGTCCTCCTTCAAGGAGGTGGGGCACCTCTACTAATTTCCCATAGCACTTCGTCGGCCACCACTTCGTGGTCTATTCCTGGTTCCAAGGCTCTGGCGGTCTCGGGCCTCCTCTTGGGTCCTTGGCACCGACAATCCTGCCTTAGTCCTTCGTCCTTTCTTTCTCTCTTGCCTCCTCATTCTCGATTCCTTTGTCGTGCACTTCTTGGCCATATATCATTTCTTAAGGGCGGGGACTTGATTCGGGTCCAGAGGTCCCGACACCGGACGGAGATGAAACCGCGCACACACCTTGTCCTTGAGCTAGAGAACCCAACGATGGAACAAGCCGGGCAACATAGTCCTCGAAATAATAAAGAAGAGGCCTTATAACTTCCGCATGTGCCTCGGAACTAAGGGAGGTCGCTCGCTAAGCAACCGGTTCCCAAGGCGGCGAGAGTGCAACCGCATCACTCTCGGCGGTGCTCACTTTCCAAGAAGGGCCTTTCCTTTGGCTTTCGTGGGACAGTTTGCTGTTTCGTATGCATCGCTGTTGCACCACCAACAGTATCGGTACCTGGTGCATATCTTGTAGACGCCCTCCGATATGCTAAATTGGAGCTAAGGTTCGGGAGCTGTTGTGCTGGGCTCGGGGGATGAAGAGGTGCTTGTCGTCGATTTGTCACGCCCTCGACCTTTGGCCGGGCGGCCACCATCCCGGGCAGCTGTTAACCTGTCTCCCTCATCCGAGGAAGCAGCCTCGGCAGAGTCGGTCGGCGTGGTTGCTGCGACCACGACCACTTTCGGCTGATGTTGGTCTCTACGCTGGTCTGCGGAAGACGAACGACCGGCATTGCGGGCTTCGCTGTTCATCACGATGATCTGCGAGGCCTTGTTGAATAATAGTTCACTCGTGGTGAGTGTCTCCGCGACTTGCGTGAGGGCATTAAGCAATGTTGGACATGACATCGTAATGAAGTAGTGCTTGATGCCCGTGAAGTTGATCAGCAAGTTGGGCATGGATGCCAAGCATTGGTACTCGGCG